CATCATTAGGGGAAAAAACGGTGATCCAATTTCCGACCCTCAGGAACAGGTTTGCAGATTTGCTGAGCATTTTTGTGAGGTCCTGGGGGAGGGGAAATCCCTCAGCCAGGAAAATATCGTGGCACAAAGTGAGGATGACCCTGCGGAGGCTGCGGTGCCTCAAAAATTGGAAGAAGTCACCCCCTGTGAGTGGCTGGCTGAGGTGCCATCCGTTGAGGAAGTACTGAAGGCGATCCAGAGTCTGAGACCAGGAAAGGCACCGGGCAGAGATGATCTCCCAAGCGAAATGCTGAGGGAGGGTGGCGTTTGTGCACAGACTGCCCTACATGATATCATAACAGTCTGGACCACTGGACGGGTTCCGCAGGATTGGAAGGATGCCTTGGTGGTCCCCCTCTTTAAGAAGGGGGACTGCACAGACTGTTACAACTACAGGGGCATCTCACTCCTCAGTGTGCTGGGAAAGGTCCTGGCAAGGATTATTCAACATCGCCTTGCCATGCACGCTGAGGAGAGGATTGCGGAGCCCCAATGCGGTTTCAGGAAAGGGCGGTCCTGCACAGATGCCATATTTTCTGTCCGTCTGCTACAGCAGAGGTGTAGGGAATTCCAGCAAGACCTACATCTCTGCTTCATTGACCTGGTCAAGGCCTATGATACCATCAATAGGCCTGGGCTCTGGGTTTCGGAGTCCCTGACCCTATGCTCACGCTCATTAAGGACGTTCATGATGGTGAGCGTGGCCGGGAGTCAGAGCCATTCCCTGTACACCTTGGGGTGCGACAGAGATGTCCTCTGGCTCCCACATTATTTAACATCTATTTCGACCACGTAGTTCGCGAAGCCTTCAGTAGCTGTGCCGGAGGAATTTCCATCTGGTACAGATATAATGGGAGGCTGATTGATGCCCGGCTGTGGTCAAGGGATGGCTCCCTATTGGTCAACCATGTTATGTATGCCGATGATCTGGTAATTGCAGCTCACTCAGAGGAGGAGCTTCGGGTCTTCTCGGCCACAGTTATTCCCTCCCTTCTCTACGCTTGTGAAACGTGGACCCCCCTAATGGAACATCTTCGCCGGTTAGAAACATTTAGGCTGGCCTGCCTACGATCAATCCTGGGTTTAACCAGGCTGAATTGTGTGAGCTCACAAATCTTCGAAAGATCTGGACAAAGTCCCATCGGTGAGCACCTCCGGCAAGCAAGGCTGTGTTGGCTGGGCCATGTAGCCCGCATGCCAAACAGCTTTTGTTCGGCCGGATCGAGGGGGCTAAACGGGCGCGGCACGGGCTAGAGAAGAGATGGAGTGATGTAGTACAGGAGGACGTGGAGCTGAGTGGACTTGCCGATGAGCGGTACCAGCGGTGTCAAGATCAGCCTCTGTGGAGGAGGCTCGTGAAGGATGCTACTGGGCAGTTGGAGGCAGTCGCCCTCCAACAAGAACAGAGGGCGGAGGAGCAACGCTCACAACAACGAGCGGAACGCCGGGTGGCTCAGGCACAGCAGGTTGGCACAGTAGGGGGCACAGGTGGTGCATCAGCCAGTCATCTCAGTCAGTCGACCCGTGGCACCTGGGTCTGCCCCGTGACCTGCCAGCGGGCGTTCGACACTTCACGTGGCCTCAAGGTGCACATGGCCTGGCACAAGCGTCGTGGTGACGTCACCGACACTTAGTGGCGAATGGCGGTTGTTGTTGTTGTGTCCGTGTGCGCGTGTGCGCGTGTGTCCATGCGTGTGTCCGTGTGTAAGTGTGTGTGTGTCCGTGTGTGTCCGTGTGTGTGTGTGTCCGTGTGTGTGAGTGTCCGTGTGTGTATGGGGAGCGGTAGTGTAGCAGTGGTTGGCGCTGCGCTACGAATCCGGCGGCCCAGGTTCGATTCCCGCTCATGGCCAAGACGGTGACTTTCATCTGAATTGGTCCTGGGCCTCCCTTAGGTCGACTCAGCCTCAAACGAGTACCTGGTGCGGTGGTGTGGAGTAAACATCGCCACTGGGGAGACAAAGGCGGCCGGGCGTGGTGCTGGCCACCCACCCCCTCGTGTGCCGTGGCCGGCTTTCATAGGTGCTGCTCGCTAACAGCACTTGCCCCTACAGTGAGTGGTGGTACAGTGAGGGAAATAAGTATTTGATCCCCTGCTGATTTTGTACGTTTGCCCACTGACAAAGAAATTATCAGTCTATAATTTTAATGGTAGGTTTATTTGAACAGTGATAGACAGAATAACAACAAAAAAATCCAGAAAAAGGCATGTCAAAAATGTTATAAATTGATTTGCATTTTAATGAGGGCAATAAGTATTTGACCCCCTCTCAATCAGAAAGATTTCTGGCTCCCAGGTGTCTTTTATACAGGTAACGAGTTGAGATTAGGAGCACACTCTTAAAGGGAGTGCTCCTAATCTCAGCTTGTTACCTGTATAAAAGACACCTGTCCACAGAAGCAATCAATCAGATTCCAAACTCTCCACCATGGCCAAGACCAAAGAGCTCTCCAAGGATGTCAGAGACAAGATTGTAGACCTACACAAGGCTGGAATGGGCTTCAAGACCATTGCCAAGCAGCTTGGTGAGAAGGTGACAACAGTTGGTGCGATTATTCGCAAATGGAAGAAACACAAAAGAACTGCCAATCTCCCTCGGCCTGGGGCTCCATGCAAGATCTCACCTCGTGGAGTTGCAATGATCATGAGAACGGTGAGGAATCAGCCCAGAACTACACGGGAGGATCTTGTCAATGATCTCAAGGCAGCTGGGACCATAGTCACCAAGAAAACAATTTGTAACACACTACGCCGTGAAGGACTGAAATCCTGCAGCGCCCGCAAGGTCCCCATGCTCAACAAAGCACATATACATGCCCGTCTGAAGTTTGCCAATGAACATCTGAATGATTCAGAGGACAACTGGGTGAAAGTGTTGTGGTCAGATGAGACCAAAATGGAGCTATTTGGCATCAACTCAACTCGCCGTGTTTGGAGGAGGAGGAATGCTGACTATGACCCCAAAAACACCATCCCCACCGTCAAACGTGGAGGTGGAAACATTATGCTTTGGGGGTGTTTTCTGCTAAGGGAACAGGACAACTTCACCGCATCAAAGGGACGATGGACGGGGCCATGTACCGTCAAATCTTGGGTGAGAACCTCCTTCCCTCAGCCAGGGCATTGAAAATGGGTCGTGGATGGGTACTCCAGCATGACAATGACCCAAAACACACGGCCAAGGCAACAAAGGAGTGGTTCAAGAAGAAGCACATTAAGGTCCTGGAGTGGCCTAGCCAGTCTCCAGACCTTAATCCCACGGAAAATCTGTGGAGGGAGCTGAAGGTTCGAGTTGTCAAACGTCAGCCTCGAAACCTTAATGACTTGGAGAAGATCTGCAAAGAGAAGTGGGACTAAATCCCTCCTGAGATGTGTGCAAACCTGGTGGCCAACTACAAGAAACGTCTGACCTCTGTGAATGCCAACAAGGATCAAATACTTATTTCCCTCATTAAAATGCAAATCAATTTATAACATTTTTGACATGCGTTTTTCTGGATTTTGTTGTTGTTATTCTGTCTCTCACTGTTCAAATAAACCTACCATTAAAATTATGGACTGATCATTTCTTTGTCAGTGGGCAAACGTACAAAATCAGCAGGGGATCAAAGACCTTTTTTCCCTCCCTGTATACGGAAATCTTTGTCTGTGTTTGTGTCCATGGTACTGATGCTGTCCATGGTACTGATGCTGTTATTACTCGCTTTGGCACACACAACCGCAAACAGCAATTCCGGCATGAGGACCATGTAAAGCAGCGGTGGGGAACCTTTTTTTCTGGCAAGGGCCATTTGGATATTTATATAACATCATTCGCGGGCCATACAAGATTATCAACTGAAAAATTAGCCCGTTATATTTTGTCAAACATTTAATTAACTCACCCCGAATGTGATGGCTGGAACAGACCAAATTATTTTGCGGGCCTCATACGGCCCGCTGGGCGGACGTTCACCACCCCTGCTTAAGGCTATGAGGGGGCATCTTTGTGTTTGTTTTGGTGTCTGTGTGTGTCTCTGTGTGTGTGTCTCTGTGTGTTGCTGTCTGTGTCTGTGTGTGTCTGTGTGTCGGTGTATGTGTGTGTGTGTCTGTGTGGCTGTGTGTGTGTGTCTGTGTGGCTGTGTGTGTGTCTGTGTGTCGGTGTCTGTGTGTGTGTCTGTGTGGCTGTGTGTGTGTGTGTGGCTGTGTGTGGCTGTGTGTGGCTGTGTGTGTGTCTGTGTGGCTGTGTGTGTGTGTGGCTGTCTGTGTCTGTGTGTGCGTCTGTGTGTGTCTGTGTGTGTGTGTGTCTGTGTGGCTGTGGGTGTGTGGCTGTCTGTATCTGTGTGTGCGTCTGTGTGTGTGTCTGCGTCTGTGTGTGTGTCTGTGTCTGTGTGGCTGTGTGTGTGTGTGGCTGTCTGTATCTGTGTGTGCGTTTGTGTGTGTGGCTGTGTGTGTCTGTGTGTGCTCGCTATCAGCACTTGCCCCAACAGCCTGTTAAAGACCACCCACACACCTCACCCACCCACACACCTCACCCACCCACACACCTCACCCACCCACACACCTCGCCCACCCGACCGACCTCACCCACCTCACCCATCCACCCACACACCTCACCCACCTCACCCATCCACTCACCCACCCGCCTGACCCACGCACGCGACCCACGTGACCCACCCACGTGACCCACCCAGGCGACCCACGTGACCCACCCACGTGACCCACGTGACCCACCTGACTCCGTTGACACAGTCGGCGTGGAGGCTGTGGCGGGCGGCGGGAGGCCGCAGTCCACGTGACGTCACCACGTCCCAGGCGCTCACACAGCCCTCCGTGTCACCGCTCACCAGCAAGCTGCCACACCTACACGTGGTGGTTCACCACCATCACACCATCACCATCACTACCACCACCACCATCACACCATCACCACCACACCACCATCACCACCACCATCACCACCACCATCACCACCACCTCCATCACCACCGTCACCACGTCCCAGGCGCTCACACAGCCCTCCGTGTCACCGCTCACCAGCAAGCTGCCACACCTACACGTGGTGGTGCACCACCATCACCAAACACAGCACCATCATCACCACCGTCACCACCATCACACCATCACCGTCACCACGTCCCAGGCGCTCACACAGCCCTCCGTGTCACCGCTCACCAGCACGCTGCCACACCTACACGTGGTGGTTCATCACCACCATTACACCACCACCATCACACCACCATCATCACACCACCACCACCATCACCATCACACCACCGTCACCACGTCCCAGGCGCTCACACAGCCCTCCGTGTCACCGCTCACCAGCACGCCACCACACCTACACATGGTGGATCACACACAGCACCACCATCACCACCATCACCACCATCACCACACCACCACACCATCACCACCACCACCATCACCACACCACCACCATCACCACCACCATCACCACCACCACCACCACCACCACACCACCACCACACCACCACCACACCATCACCACCATCATCACCACCATCACCACCACCATCACCACCACCACCATCACCACCACCACCACCACAACACCACCATCACCACACCACCACCACCACACCACCGCGTCAGCCTTAACAGAACACCGCGACACGGCTGCTGTTATAGCGAGCGCCTGTAACAGACTGTCAGGGCAAGTGCTGTTATAGCGAGCCCCTGTAACAGACTGTCAGGGCACGTGCTGTTATAGCGAGCGCCTGTAACAGACTGTCAGGGCAAGTGTTGTTATAGCGAGCCCCTGTAACAGACTGTCAGGGCAAGTGTTGTTATAGTGAGCCCCTGTAACAGACTGTCAGGGCAAGTGCTGTTATAGCGAGCCCCTGTAACAGACTGTCAGGGCACGTGCTGTTATAGCGAGCGCCTGTAACAGACTGTCAGGGCAAGTGCTGTTATAGCGAGCCCCTGTAACAGACTGTCAGGGCAAGTGCTGTTATAGCGAGCCCCTGTAACAGACTGTCAGGGCAAGTGTTGTTATAGCGAGCCCCTGTAACAGACTGTCAGGGGAAGTGCTGTTATAGCGAGCGCCTGTAACAGACTGACAGGGCAAGTGCTGTTATAGCGAGCCCCTGTTACAGACTGTCAGGGCAAGTGCTGTTATAGCGAGCCCCTGTAACAGACTGTCGGGGCAAGTGCTGTTATAGCGAGCCCCTGTAACAGACTGTCAGGGCAAGTGCTGTTATAGCGAGCGCCTGTAACAGACTGTCGGGGCAAGTGCTGTTACAGCGAGCCCCTGTAACAGACTGTCGGGGTAAGTGCTGTCATAGTGAGCCCCCGTAACAGACTGTCAGGGCAAGTGCTGTTATAGCGAGCGCCTGTAACAGACTGTCAGGGCAAGTGCTGTTATAGCGAGCGCCTATAACAGACTGTCGGGGAAAGTGCTGTTATAGCGAGCGTCTGTTACAGACTGTCAGGGCAAGTGCTGTCATAGTGAGTGCCTGTAACAGACTGTCAGGGCAAGTGCTGTTATAGCGAGCCCCTGTAACAGACTGTCAGGGCAAGTGCTGTTATAGCGAGCGCCTGTAACAGACTGTTGGGGCAAGTGTTGTTATAGCGAGCCCCTGTAACAGACTGTCAGGGCAAGTGTTGTTATAGCGAGCCCCCGTAACAGACTGTCAGGGCACGTGCTGTTATAGCGAGCGCCTGTAACAGACTGTCAGGGCAAGTGCTGTTATAGCGAGCCCCTGTAACAGACTGTCAGGGCAAGTGCTGTTATAGCGAGCCCTTGTAACAGACTGTCAGGGCAAGTGCTGTTATAGCGAGCCCCTGTAACAGATTGTCGAGGCACGTGCTGTCATAGTGAGTGCCTGTAACAGACTGTCAGGGCAAGTGCTGTTATAGCGAGTGCCTGTAACAGACTGTCGGGGCAAGTGCTGTTATAGCGAGTGCCTGTAACAGACTGTCGGGGCAAGTGCTGTTATAGCGAGCCCCTGTAACAGACTGTCGGGGCAAGTGCTGTTATAGCGAGCCCCTGTAACAGACTGTCAGGGCAAGTGTTGTTATAGTGAGCCCCTGTAACAGACTGTCAGGGCAAGTGTTGTTATAGTGAGCCCCTGTAACAGACTGTCAGGGCACGTGCTGTTATAGCGAGCCCCTGTAACAGACTGTCAGGGCAAGTACTGTTATAGCGAGCCCCTGTTACAGACTGTCAGGGCAAGTGCTGTTATAGTGAGCGCCTGTAACAGACTGTCGGGGCAAGTGTTGTTATAGCGAGTGCCTGTAACAGACTGTCAGGGCAAGTGCTGTTATAGCGAGCCCCTGTAACAGACTGTCATGGCAAGTGCTGTCATAGTGAGTGCCTGTAACAGACTGTCAGGGCAAGTGCTGTTATAGCGAGCCCCTGTAGCAGACTGTCAGGGCAAGTGCTGTTATAGCGAGCCCCTGTTACAGACTGTCAGGGCAAGTGTTGTTATAGTGAGCCCCTGTAACAGACTGTCAGGGCAAGTGCTGTTATAGCGAGCGCCTGTAACAGACTGTCAGGGCAAGTGCTGTCATAGTGAGTGCCTGTAACAGACTGTCAGGGCAAGTGCTGTTATAGCGAGCCCCTGTAACAGACTGTCAGGGCAAGTGCTGTCATAGTGAGTGCCTGTAACAGACTGTCGGGGCAAGTGCTGTTATAGCGAGCCCCTGTAACAGACTGTCAGTGCATGTGCTGTTAGTGAGCCCCTGTAACAGATTGTCAGGGCAAGTGCTGTCATAGCGAGCCCCTGTAACAGACTGTCGGGGCAAGTGCTGTTATAGCGAGCCCCTGTAACAGACTGTCAGGGCAAGTGCTGTTATAGCGAGTGCCTGTAACAGACTGTCAGGGCAAGTGCTGTTATAGCGAGCCCCTGTAACAGACTGTCAGGGCAAGTGCTGTTATAGCGAGCCCCTGTAACAGACTGTCAGGGCAAGTGCTGTTATAGCGAGCCCCTGTAACAGACTGTCAGGGCAAGTGCTGTTATAGCGAGCGCCTGTAACAGACTGTCAGGGCAAGTGCTGTCATAGCGAGCCCCTGTAACAGACTGTCGGGGCAAGTGCTGTTATAGCGAGCCCCTGTAACAGACTGTCAGGGCAAGTGCTGTCATAGTGAGTGCCTGTAACAGACTGTCGGGGCAAGTGCTGTTATAGCGAGCCCCTGTAACAGACTGTCAGTGCATGTGCTGTTAGTGAGCCCCTGTAACAGATTGTCAGGGCAAGTGCTGTCATAGCGAGCCCCTGTAACAGACTGTCGGGGCAAGTGCTGTTATAGCGAGCCCCTGTAACAGACTGTCAGGGCAAGTGCTGTTATAGCGAGTGCCTGTAACAGACTGTCAGGGCAAGTGCTGTTATAGCGAGCCCCTGTAACAGACTGTCAGGGCAAGTGCTGTTATAGCGAGCCCCTGTAACAGACTGTCAGGGCAAGTGCTGTTATAGCGAGCCCCTGTAACAGACTGTCAGGGCAAGTGCTGTTATAGCGAGCGCCTGTAACAGACTGTCAGGGCAAGTGCTGTTATAGCGAGTGCCTGTAACAGACTGTCAGGGCAAGTGCTGTTATAGCGAGCGCCTGTAACAGACTGTCGGGGCAAGTGCTGTTAGCGAGCAGCAGCAGCAGGCCGGGAGGGAGGTCAGGGGCAAGGTCAAATGCAAGTGGCACGATGAGGTCAAGGGGTGAGGCCAGATCAGGGGTTAAGGTCGGGTCCAAGAGCCGCGTTGGGGTCAAGGCCGGGTCAGGGTCGAGTTCAAGGCCACGTCGGGGTCCAGGTGGGCCGAGGTCAAGGTCGGGTTGGGTCAAGGTCGAGTCCGAGGCCACGTTGGGGTCAAGGACGATGCCAGATCGGGGTCAAGGCCGAGTCCGAGGCCACGTTGGGGTCAAGGTGGGTCAGGGTCGGGTCGGGTCAAGGCCGAGGCCACGTTGGGTTCAAGGACGATGCCAGATCGGGGTCAAGGTCGAGTCCGAGGCCACGTTGGGGTCAAGGACGATGCCAGGTCGGGGTCGAGTTCAAGGCCACGTCAGGGTCCTGAAGGGCCAGGGCCGAGGTCGGGTCAGGGTCAAGGTCGGGTCAAGGTGGCTCGCTGACCGGCTCAGCTGGAAGTAGATGCGCTGGTTGGTGGAGACGATGCGGGGGAAGGAGCACAGGATCTCGCCTGGGACTCGGAGATCCCAGCTCAGGAGCTCAGGGTCCTGACATCAACAACAACAACGTCAACAACAACGACGTCAACAACAACGACGTCAACAACAACGTCAACAACAACAACGTCAACAACAACAACGACGTCAACGTCAACAACAACAACGACGTCAACAATGACGTCAACAACAACAACAGCGTCACGTCACCCTGTGTGCCCAGCTGTACACAGCGGCTGCCCGGCCGGGGAGAAGGCCAGGTGGGTGAGGTCACTCGTGTCTCCACCCACCCACGTGTCCCCACCCACCCACGTGTCTCCACCCACCCACGTGTCTCCACCCACGTGTCTCCACCCACGTGTCTCCACCCACGTGTCTCCACCCACCCACGTGTCTCCACCCACCCACGTGTCTCCACCCACCCACGTGTCCCCACCCACCCACGTGTCCCCACCCACCCACGTGTCTCCACCCACCCACGTGTCTCCACCCACGTGTCCCCCCCCACGTGTCTCCACCCACCCACGTGTCTCCACCCACGTGTCTCCACCCACGTGTCTCCACCCACGTGTCTCCACCCACGTGTCTCCACCCACCCACGTGTCCCCACCCACGTGTCTCCACCCACCCACGTGTCCCCACCCACCCACGTGTCTCCACCCACCCACGTGTCTCCACCCACGTGTCTCCACCCACGTGTCTCCACCCACGTGTCTCCACCCACCCACGTGTCTCCACCCACCCACGTGTCTCCACCCACCCACGTGTCCCCACCCACCCACGTGTCTCCACCCACGTGTCTCCACCCACGTGTCTCCACCCACGTGTCTCCACCCACCCACGTGTCTCCACCCACGTGTCTCCACCCACGTGTCTCCACCCACCCACGTGTCTCCACCCACCCACGTGTCTCCACCCACGTGTCTCCACCCACCCACGTGTCTCCACCCACCCACGTGTCTCCACCCACGTGTCTCCACCCACCCACGTGTCTCCACCCACCCACGTGTCTCCACCCACGTGTCTCCACCCACCCACGTGTCTCCACCCACGTGTCTCCACCCACGTGTCTCCACCCACCCACGTGTCTCCACCCACGTGTCTCCACCCACGTGTCTCCACCCACCCACGTGTCTCCACCCACCCACGTGTCTCCACCCACGTGTCTCCACCCACCCACGTGTCTCCACCCACCCACGTGTCTCCACCCACGTGTCTCCACCCACCCACGTGTCTCCACCCACGTGTCTCCACCCACCCACGTGTCTCCACCCACCCACGTGTCTCCACCCACGTGTCTCCACCCACCCACGTGTCTCCACCCACGTGTCTCCACCCACCCACGTGTCTCCACCCACGTGTCCCCACGTGTCCCCACCCACCCACGTGTCTCCACCCACCCACGTGTCTCGACCCACGTGTCCCCACGTGTCCCCACCCACCCACGTGTCTCCACCCACGTGTCTCCACCCACCCACGTGTCTCCACCCACGTGTCTCCACCCACCCACGTGTCTCCACCCACGTGTCCCCACGTGTCCCCACCCACCCACGTGTCTCCACCCACCCACGTGTCTCCACCCACGTGTCCCCACGTGTCCCCACCCACCCACGTGTCTCCACCCACGTGTCTCCACCCACCCACGTGTCTCCACCCACGTGTCTCCACCCACCCACGTGTCTCCACCCACGTGTCCCCACGTGTCCCCACCCACCCACGTGTCTCCACCCACCCACGTGTCTCCACCCACGTGTCCCCACGTGTCCCCACCCACCCACGTGTCTCCACCCACGTGTCTCCACCCACCCACGTGTCTCCACCCACGTGTCTCCACCCACCCACGTGTCTCCACCCACGTGTCTCCACCCACCCACGTGTCTCCACCCACGTGTCTCCACCCACCCACGTGTCTCCACCCACGTGTCTCCACCCACCCACGTGTCCCCACCCACGTGTCTCCACCCACCCACGTGTCCCCACCCACGTGTCTCCACCCACCCACGTGTCTCCACCCACCCACGTGTCTCCACTCACGTGTCTCCACCCACGTGTCTCCACCCACGTGTCTCCACCCACGTGTCTCCACCCACGTGTCTCCACCCACGTGTCTCCACCCACGTGTCTCCACCCACGTCTCCCCACGTGTCTCCACCCACCCACGTGTCTCCACCCACGTGTCCCCACCCACGTGTCTCCACCCACGTGTCTCCACCCACCCACGTGTCCCCACCCACGTGTCTCCACCCACCCACGTGTCCCCACCCACGTGTCTCCACCCACCCACGTGTCTCCACCCACGTGTCTCCACCCACGTGTCTCCACCCACGTGTCTCCACCCACGTGTCTCCACCCACGTGTCTCCACCCACGTGTCTCCACCCACGTGTCTCCACCCACGTCTCCCCACGTGTCTCCACCCACCCACGTGTCTCCACCCACGTGTCCCCACCCACGTGTCTCCACCCACGTGTCTCCACCCACGTGTCTCCCCCCACGTGTCTCCACCCACGTGTCTCCACCCACGTGTCTCCACCCACGTCTCCCCACGTGTCTCCACCCACCCACGTGTCTCCACCCACGTGTCTCCCCCCACGTGTCTCCACCCACGTGTCTCCACCCACGTGTCTCCACCCACGTGTCTCCACCCACGTGTCTCCCCCCACGTGTCTCCACCCACGTGTCTCCACCCACGTGTCTCCACCCACGTGTCTCCCCCCACGTGTCTCCACCCACGTGTCTCCCCCCACGTGTCTCCACCCACGTGTCTCCACCCACGTCTCCCCACGTGTCTCCACCCACCCACGTGTCTCCACCCACCCACGTGTCTCCACCCACGTGTCTCCACCCACGTGTCTCCACCCACGTGTCTCCACCCACGTGTCTCCACCCACGTGTCTCCACCCACGTGTCTCCACCCACGTGTCTCCACCCACGTGTCTCCACCCACGTGTCTCCACCCACGTGTCTCCACCCACGTGTCTCCACCCACGTGTCTCCACCCACGTGTCTCCACCCACGTCTCCCCACGTGTCTCCACCCACCCACGTGTCTCCACCCACGTGTCCCCACCCACGTGTCTCCACCCACGTGTCTCCCCCCACGTGTCTCCACCCACGTGTCTCCACCCACGTGTCTCCACCCACGTCTCCCCACGTGTCTCCACCCACCCACGTGTCTCCACCCACGTGTCTCCACCCACGTGTCTCCCCCCACGTGTCTCCACCCACGTGTCTCCACCCACGTGTCTCCACCCACGTCTCCCCACGTGTCTCCACCCACCCACGTGTCTCCACCCACGTGTCTCCACCCACGTGTCTCCACCCACGTATCTCCACCCACGTGTCTCCACCCACGTGTCTCCACCCACGTGTCTCCACCCACGTCTCTCCACGTGTCTCCATCCACGTGTCTCCACGTGTCCCCACGTGTCTCCCCCCACGTGTCTCCCCCCACGTGTCTCCCCCCACGTGTCTCCCCACGTCTCTCCCCACGTGTCTCCGTCTCCCCCCGCGTGTCTCCCCACGTGTCCCCCCGTGTCTCCCCACGTGTCTCCGTCTCCCTCCGCGTTTCCCTGCTTCTCCCCCACGTGTCCCCGCGTGTCTCCCCACGTGTCCACGTCTCTCCCCGCGTCTCCCCGCGTCTCTATCCCCATGTCCCCGCGTCTCCCCACGTCTCCCCCCGCCCGTCCCCGCGTGTCTCCCCGCGTGTCTCCCCGCGTGTCTCCCCGCGTGTCTCCCCGTGTGTCTCCCCGCGTGTGTCTCCCCACGTCTCTATCCCCGTGTCTCCCCACGTGTCTCCCCACGTGTCTCCCCACGTCTCTATCCCCGTGTCTCCCCGTGTCTCCCCCCGTGTGTCTCTCCCCGCGTGTCTCCCCGTGTGTCTCCCCGTGTCTCTCCCCGCGTGTCTCTCCCCGCGTGTCTCTCTCCCCGCGCGTCTCCCCCCGCCGCGCGTCCCCGCGAGCGTGGTCACGGCGACGTCACCTTGCGCCCTCCCGTGTAGAGCGTGTGGCCGTCGGGCGAGAAGGCGAGGTGAGTGAGTCCCCCCCGGTGGCCACGCAGGAGGCCCAGGAGGGCCGGCTCGCGAGCGCCGTACAGCGCCACGTCGCGGCCGTACGAGCCGCAGGCCAACACGTAGCCCGTGGGGTCGTAGCAGACGCACGACACAATCCCCGCCAGGCCCACACCGCCCGCTGCTGAGCGGGGGATGCACACACACATACACACACACAGACACACAGACACACACGCACAGACACACAGACACACGCACAGACACACGCACGCACAGACACACACACATAGACACACGCACACACATACACACACACAGACACACAGACACGCGCGCAGACACACACAGACACACAGACACACGCACAGACACACGCACGCACAGACACGCACGCACAGACACACGCGCACAGACACACACACACACACAGACACACAGACACACGCACAGACACACGCGCGCACAGACACACGCACAGACACACGCACGCACAGACACGCACACAGACACACGCACACACACACACGCGCACACACAGACACACACACACACGCACACACACACACACGCACAGACACACAGACACGCGCACACACACACGCGCACAGACACACGCGCACAGACACACACACACACGCACAGACACACGCGCACAGACACACGCACACAGACACACGCACACAGACACGCACACACACACACACATGCGCACAGACACACGCACACACACATACAGATACACACGCACACACACGAACATAGATATACACACACACAGATACACACGAACGTAGAGATACACACACACACATACAGATACACACACACAGATACACACAAACATAGAGATACACACACAGATACACACGAACATAGAGATACACACACACACGCAGATACACACGAACATAGATACACACACGCACACACACACAGAGATACACACACACATAGAGATACACACACACACAGATACACACGAACATAGATACACACACACAGATACACACACACACAGATACACACACACACACAGATACACACACACACACAGATACACACACATAGATACACACGAACATAGAGATACACACACACATAGATACACACACACATACAGATACAGATACACACGAACATAGAGATACAACAACAACAACCGCCATTCGCCACTAAGTGGCGGTGACGTCACCACGACGCTTGTGCCAGGCTATGTACGTGAAGTGTACACACACACAGATACACAAGAACATAGAGATACACACACACACATAGATACACACGAACAGAGAGATACACACACACAGATACACACGAACAGAGAGATACACACACACATACAGATACACACGAACATAGAGATACACACACAGATACACGAACATAGAGATACACACACAGATATACACACACACACATATACACACGAACGTAGAGATACAGACACACACACGAACATAGAGATACACACACACACATACAGATACACACACACACATACAGATACACACACACACATACAGATACACACGAACATAGAGATACACATACACATAGAGATATACACACATATACACACGAACAGAGAGATACACACACGGATACACACGAACATAGAGATACACACACACACATAGAGATATACACACATACACACGAATATAGAGATACACACACACATATAGATACAAGACAAAGATCCCCCGTGTAGCCTGTAACAGACTGTAGGGGCAAGTGCTGTTAGCGAGCAGCACCTGTGAAGGCCGGAACGGTACACGAGGGGGTGGGTGGCTACCAGCATCACGCCCGACCGCCTTTGTCTCCCCAGTGGCGATGTTTACTACACTCCGCACCAGGTACTGATTTGAGGCTGAGTCGACCTAGGGGATGCCCAGGAACGGTTCAGTTAATCGTCGCCGGTGTTGGCCGTGAGCGGGAATCGAACCCGGGTCGCCAGGTTCATAGCGCAGCGTGTTACCGCTACACTACGTACACACACACATACATATAGATACACGCACACATATAGATAGATACATACGTACATTTGGATACACAGTGGAGCTGATTTAGCGGGGCTGGTTTAGGATTTAGCGGGGCTGGTCTAGGAGAGGGTTTAGGGTTTAGTGGGACTGGTTTAGGGTTTAGTGGGACTGGTTTAGGGTTTAGTGGGACTGGTTTAGGGTTTAGCGGGGCTGGTTTAGGGTTTAGTGGGACTGGTTTAGGGTTTAGGAGCTGGTTTAGAGACTGGTTTAGGGACTGGTTTAGGGTTTAGTGGGACTGGTTTAGGGTTTAGTGGGACTGGTTTAGTGGGACTGGTTTAGGGTTTAGTGGGACTGGTTTAGGGTTTAGTGGGACTGGTTTAGGGTTTAGGAACTGGTTTAGGGACTGGTTTAGGGTTTAGTGGGACTGGTTTAGGGTTTAGGAGCTGGTTTAGGGACTGGTTTAGGGACTGGTTTAGGGTTTAGTGGGACTGGTTTAGGAGCTGGTTTAGTGGGACTGGTTTAGGAGCTGGTCTAGGAGCTGGTCTAGGAGAGGGTTTAGGGACTGGTTTAGGGTTTAGTGGGACTGGTTTAGGGTTTAGTGGGACTGGTTTAGGGTTTAGTGGGACTGGTTTAGGGTTTAGTGGGACTGGTTTAGGGTTTAGTGGAGCTGGTTTAGGGTTTAGTGGGACTGGTTTAGGGTTTAGTGGGACTGGTTTAGGGTTTAGTGGAGCTGGTTTAGGGTTTAGTGGGACTGGTTTAGGGTTTAGTGGGACTGGTTTAGGGTTTAGTGGAGCTGGTTTAGGGTTTAGTGGAGCTGGTTTAGGGTTTAGTGGGACTGGTTTAGGGTTTAGTGGGACTGGTTTAGGGTTTAGTGGGACTGGTTTAGGGTTTAGTGGGACTGGTTTAGGGTTTAGTGGAGCTGGTTTAGGGTTTAGTGGAGCTGGTTTAGGGTTTAGTGGGACTGGTTTAGGGTTTAGTGGGACTGGTTTAGGGTTTAGTGGGACTGGTTTAGGGTTTAGTGGGACTGGTTTAGGAGAGGGTTTAGGAGCTGGTTTAGGGACTGGTTTAGGAGCTGGTTTAGTGGGACTGGTTTAGGGTTTAGCGGGACTGGTTTAGGGTTTAGGAGCTGGTTTAGGAGCTGGTTTAGAAGCTGGTTTAGCGGGACTGGTTTAGGGTTTAGTGGGACTGGTTTAGGGTTTAGTGGGACTGGTTTAGGGTTTAGTGGGACTGGTTTAGGGTTTAGTGGAGCTGGTTTAGGGTTTAGGAGCTGGTCTAGGAGAGGGTTTAGGAGCTGGTTTAGGGACTGGTTTAGGAGCTGGTTTAGTGGGACTGGTTTAGGGTTTAGCGGGACTGGTTTAGGGTTTAGGAGCTGGTTTAGGAGCTGGTTTAGGGTTTAGTGGGACTGGTTTAGGGACTGGTTTAGGAGCTGGTTTAGTGGGACTGGTCTAGGAGCCGGTTTAGGGTTTAGGAGCTGGTCTAGGAGCTGGTTTAGGATTTAGGAGCTGGTTTAGGGACTGGTTTAGGAGCTGGTTTAGGAGCTGGTTTAGGAGCTGGTTTAGGGACTGGTTTAGGGACTGGTTTAGGGTCTAGCGGGGTTCTGATTGGTGGACAGCCTCACCGCTGGTCTTCCTCTCCTCACAGTCGCGTCCGGGCCGCCCCGTGGAGAAGAGACGCAGCGAGCGGGGGAAGCCACACGCCAAGTGCTGCCCGTCGGGGGAGAAGCAGAGCGAGCGTGCCGCTTCCAGCTCGTCCTCGTGACACCACAACCACAACCACAACAACCACAGTCACAACCACAGTCACAACCACAGTCACAACCACAGTCACAACCACAACCACCACAACAACCACAACATCATCATCATCACAGAGCGAGCGTGCCGCTTCCAGCTCGTCCTCGTGACACCACAACCACAGTCACAACCACAGTCACAACCACAACATCACCATCACAACCACCATCACAACCACAACATCATCATCACCATCACAGAGCGAGCGTGCCGCTTCCAGCTCGTCCTCGTGACACCACAACCACAACCATCACCACCACCACCACAGCCACAACCACCATCACAACCACAACCACAACCACCATCACAACCACAACCACCACAACCACCATCACAACCACCATCACAACCACAACCACCATCACAACCACAGCCACAACCACCATCACAACCACAGCCACAACCACCATCACAACCACAGCCACAACCACCACCACAACCACAGCCACAACCACCATCACAACCACCATCACAACCACCACCACAGCCACAACCACCATCACCATCACAACCACAGCCACAACCACCATCACAACCACAGCCACAACCACCATCACAACCACAGCCACAACCACCATCACAACCACAACATCATCATCACCATCACAGAGTGAGTGTACCCCGCCTGCAGCTCATCCTCATGACACAACAACCACCACCACAGCCACAACCACAGCCACAACCACCATCACAACAACCACAATCACCACCACAGTCACAACCACAACCACCACCACAGCCACCACCACAACCACAGCCACAACCAGAGCGACAACCACAACCACCATCACAACCACAACCACCCCCACAACCGGTGTTGTTGTTGTTGTTGTTTGTGTTACCAGGTGGTCGTAGGCTCGGTATGACGCTCGCAGCTGGCCCGTGAACGCGTCCCACATGTGGATGGGGTTGTCTCGGCTCGTGCTCGCCAGCCTGGCACAACGTCACACCACCACCACGTCACACCGCCACCACGTCACACCGCCACCACGTCACACCACCACCGCGTCACACCGCCACCATCACCACCACCACCATGTCACACCGCCACCACGTCACACCACCACCGCGTCACACCGCCACCATCACCACCACCACGTCACACCGCCACCGCGTCACACCGCCACCATCACCACCACCACGTCACACCGCCACTGCGTCACACCACCATCATCACCACCACCACGTCACACCGCCACCACGTCACACCACCACGTCACACCACCACCGCGTCACACCGCCACCATCACCACCACCGCGCGTGTTGCTGGTAGCCACCCACCCCCTCGTGTGCCACAGTGCCGGCAGCCTTCATAGGTGCTGCCCGCTAACAGCACTTGCCCCTGCAGTCTGTTAGAGACTACACGGGGGATCTTTGTCTGTGTCTACCTTCACAGGTGCTGCTGCTACTCACAGCACTTGCCCCTGCAGTCTGTTGAGGCTACACGGGGGATCTTTGTCTGTGTCTACCTTCATAGCTGCTGCTGCTACTCGCTACTAACAGCACTTGCCCCAGCAGCCTGTTAGAGGCTACACGGGGGATCTTTGTCTGTGTCTACCTTCATAGGTGCTGCTACTCGCTACTAACAGCACTTGCCCCTACAGTCTGTAGAGGCTACACGGGGGATCTTTGTCTCTGTTGTGCGTGGACGTGCGTGTGTGCGTTTCTGTGCGTGTGTGTGTGTGCGTGTGTGTGTGTGCGTGTATGTGCGTGTATGTGTGTGCGTGTGTGTGTGCGTGTGTGTGTGTGTGCGTGGGTGTGTGTGCGTGTATGTGTGTATGTGCATATGTGCGTGCGTGTATGTGTGTGTGTGCGTGCGTGCGCGTATGTGTGTGCGTGTATGTGTGTGCGTGCGTGTGCGTGCGTGCGTGTGCGTGCGTGCGTGTGCGTGCGTGTGTGTGTGTGCGTGTGCGTGCGTGTGTGTGTGTGTGTGTGCGTGTGTGCGTGCGTGTGTGCGCGTGTGTGCGTGTGCGTGTATGTGTGTGTGCGTGTGTGTGTGTGTGCGTGTGTGTGTGCGTGGTGTATGTGTGCGTGTGTGTGTGTGCGTGTGTGTGCGTGCGTGTGCGTGTATGTGCGTGCGTGTGCGTGTGTGTGTATGCGTGTGTGTGTGTGTACGTGTGTGTGTGTGCGTGTGTGTGTGTGCGTTCGTGTGTGTGTGTGCGTGTGCGTGCGTGTGCGTGCGTGTGCGTGCGTGTGTGCGATGAGTGGCACTCACACACACGATGCAGGGTCGTAGGAGTTCATGAGCGGGTACCAGCAGAAGTCATAGACACTCTCAGCCTCGTGCATGTGCAGAGCAGGGGCCTGGGACACACCGAGAGAGAGCAGGGTGGTGGGTAGGGTGGTGGGTAGGGTGGTGGGTAGGGTGGTGGGTAGGGTGGTGGGTAGGGTGGTGGGGAGGGTGGTGGGGAGGGTGGTGGGCAGGGTGGTGGGTAGGGTGGTGGGTAGGATGGTGGGTGGCGAGGTGGGTAGGGTGGTGGGTAGCGTGGTGGGTAGGGTGGTGGGTGGGGTGGTGGGTAGGGTGGTGGGCAGGGTGGTGGGTAGGATGGTGGGTGGCGAGGTGGGTAGGGTGGTGGGTAGGGTGGTGGGTGGGGTGGTGGGTGGGGTGGTGGGTAGGGTGGTGGGTAGGGTGGTGGGTGGGGTGGTGGGTAGGGTGGTGGGTAGGGTGGTGGGTAGGGTGGTGGGTAGGGTGGTGGGTAGGGTGGTGGGTAGGGTGGTGGGTAGGGTGGTGGGCAGGGTGGTGGGTAGGGTGGTGGGTAGGGTGGTGGGTAGGGTGGTGGGTAGGGTGGTGGGTAGGGTGGTGGGTAGGGTGGTGGGTAGGGTGGTGGGTAGGGTGGTGGGTAGGGTGGTGGGTAGGGTGGTGGGCAGGGCGGTGGGCAGGGTGGTGGGGAGGGTGGTGGGTAGGGTGGTGGGCAGGGTGGTGGGCAGGGTGGTGGGTAGGGTGGTGGGTAGGGTGGTGGGTAGGGTGGTGGGTAGGGTGGTGGGGAGGGTGGTGGGTAGGGTGGTGGGTAGGGTGGTGGGTAGGGTGGTGGGTAGGGTGGTGGGTAGGGTGGTGGGTAGGGTGGTGGGTAGGGTGGTGGGTAGGGTGGTGGGTAGGGTGGTGGGTAGGGTGGTGGGCAGGGTGGTGGGTAGGGTGGTGGGTAGGGTGGTGGGTAGGGTGGTGGGTAGGGTGGTGGGTAGGGTGGTGGGTAGGGTGGTGGGCAGGGTGGTGGGTAGGGTGGTGGGTAGGGTGGTGGGTAGGGTGGTGAGTGGTGGTGGTGGGTAGGGTGGTGGGTAGGGTGGTGGGTAGGGTGGTGGGTAGGGTGGTGAGTGGTGGTGGTGGGTAGGGTGGTGGGTAGGGTGGTGGGTAGGGTGGTGAGTGTACCACACTCACCATCTGTTCAGGCTGGAGCGTGGTGGTGGTGGTGAGTGGTGGTGAGTGGGGGGTGAGTGGTGGTGGTGAGTGGTGGTGAGTGGGGGGTGAGTGGTGGTGGTGAGTGGTGGTGAGTGGGGGGTGAGTGGTGGTGGTGAGTGTACCACACTCACCATCTGTCCAGGCTGCAGCGTGGTGAGTGGTGGTGATTGGTGGTGGTGAGTGGGGGGTGATTGGTGGTGGTGAGTGTACCACACTCACCATCTGTTCAGGTTGGAGCGTGGTGGTGGTGGTGAGTGGTGGTGAGTGGGGGGTGAGTGGTGGTGGTGGTGAGTGGGGGGTGAGTGGTGGTGGTGAGTGTACCACACTCACCATCTGTTCAGGTTGGAGCGTGGTGGTGGTGGTGGTGAGTGGTTGTGGTGGTGGTGGTGAGTGGGGGGTGAGTAGCGGTGGTGAGTGGAGGTGGTGAGTGTACCACACTCACCATCTGTTCAGGCTGGAGCGTGGTGGTGGTGGTGGTGAGTGGTGGTGGTGAGTGGTGGTGGTGAGTGGTGGTGGTGAGTGTACCACACTGGTGGTGAGTGTACCACACTCACCATCTGTTCAGGCTGGAGTGTGGTGGTGGTGGTGGTGAGTGGTGGTGAGTGTACCACACTCACCATCTGTTCAGGCTGGAGTGTGGTGGTGGTGGTGGTGGTGAGTGGGAGGTTGTAAACTCTCAGCGTGTTATCCTCGCTGCTGGTCAGGAAGCAAGTTCCGTCCGGGGCCCTGCAACCACAACAACAAATACTACAACAATCACCACCACAACAACAACAACCACCACCACAACTACAACAACCACCACCACAACTACAACAACCACCACCACAGCAATAACTACAACAACTACAACAACCACCACAACAATAACTACAACAACCACCACCACAACAATAACTACAACAATCATCACCACCACAACTACAACAACCACCACCACTGTTACGAACCACAACCTCAACAATTGCCATGATCGCAACCACTCACTCACCACTCACTACCACCACTCACTCACCACTCACCACTCACTCACCACTCACTCACTCACCACTCACTCACCACTCACTCACTACCACCACTCACTCACCACTCACCACTCACTCACCACTCACTCACTCACCACACACTCACCACTCACTCCCCACTCACTACCACCACTCACTACCATCACTCACCACTCACTCACTCACCGCCCTCACCACTCACTCACCACTCACTCACCGCTCACCACTCACTCACCACTCACTACCACCACTCACTCACCACTCACTACCACCACTCACTCACTCACTCACCACTCACTCACTCACCACTCACTCACCACTCACTCACCACTCACTACCACCACTCACTACCACTCACTACCACCACTCACTACCACCACTCACTCACCACTCACTACCACCACTCACTCACCACTCACTCACTCATCACTCACTCACCACTACCACCACTCACTCACCACTCACTCACCACCACTCACTCACCACCACTCACCACTCACTACCACCACTCACCACTCACTCACCGCTCTCACCCCTCACTCACCACTCACTCACTCAACACGTACTCACTCACCACTCACTCACCACTCACTCACTCACCACTCACTACCACCACTCACTACCACTCACTACCACCACTCACTCACCACCACTCACTACCACCACTCACTCACCACTCACTACCACCACTCACTCATCACTCACTCACCACTACCACCACTCACTCACCACTCACTCACCACCACTCACTCACCACCACTCACTACCACCACTCACTACCACCACTCACCACTCACTCACCGCTCTCACCCCTCACTCACCACTCACTCACTCAACACGTACTCACTCACCACTCACTCACTCACTACCACCACTCACTCACCACTCACTCACTACCACCACTCACTCACTACCACCACTCACTCACCACTCACTCACTCACCACTCACTCACTCACTACCACCACTCACTCACTCACCACTCACTACCACCACTCACTCACTCACCACTCACTCACCACTCACTACCACCACTCACTACCACCACTCACTCACCACTCACTACCACCACTCACTCACCACCACTCACTACCACCACTCACTCACCACTCACTACCACCACTCACTCACCACTCACTCACTCATCACTCACTCACCACTACCACCACTCACTCACCACTCACTCACCACCACTCACTCACCACCACTCACCACTCACTACCACCACTCACCACTCACTCACCGCTCTCACCCCTCACTCACCACTCACTCACTCAACACGTACTCACTCACCACTCACTCACCACTCACTCACTCACCACTCACTACCACCACTCACTCACCACTCACTCACTACCACCACTCACTCACTACCACCACTCACTCACCACCACCACTCACTCACTCACCACTCACTACCACCACTCACTACCACCACTCACTCACCACTCACTACCACTCACTACCACCACTCACTCACCACTCAGTACCACCACTCAGTACCACCACTCAGTACCACCACTCAGTACCACCACACACTACCACCACTCACTACCATCACTCACTCACCACTCACTATCACCACTCACTCACCACTCACTACCACCACTCACTCACCACTCACTCACAACTCACTACCACCACACTCACCACTCACTACCACCACTCACTCACAACTCACTACCACCACACTCACCACTCACTACCACCACTCACTCACCATTCACAACCACCACGCTCACCACCGCTCTCACCACTCACAACTACCACGCTCACCACTCACTCACACCACTCAACTCACCACTCACTACCACCACTCACTCACCACCACTCACTACCACCACTCACTCACCACTCACTACCACCACTCACTCACCACTCACTCACTCATCACTCACTCACCACTACCACCACTCACTCACCACTCACTCACCACCACTCACTCACCACCACTCACCACTCACTACCACCACTCACCACTCACTCACCGCTCTCACCCCTCACTCACCACTCACTCACTCAACACGTACTCACTCACCACTCACTCACCACTCACTCACTCACCACTCACTACCACCACTCACTCACCACTCACTCACTACCACCACTCACTCACTACCACCACTCACTCACCACTCACTCACCACCACCACTCACTCACTCACCACTCACTACCACCACTCACTCACTCACCACTCACTCACCACTCACTCACTCACCACTCACTCACCACTCACTACCACCACTCACTACCACCACTCACTCACCACTCACTACCACCACTCACTCACCACCACTCACTACCACCACTCACTCACCACTCACTACCACCACTCACTTACCACTCACTCACTCATCACTCACTCACCACTACCACCACTCACTCACCACTCACTCACCACCACTCACTCACCACCACTCACCACTCACTACCACCACTCACCACTCACTCACCGCTCTCACCCCTCACTCACCACTCACTCACTCAACACGTACTCACTCACCACTCACTCACCACTCACTCACTCACCACTCACTACCACCACTCACTCACCACTCACTCACTACCACCACTCACTCACTACCACCACTCACTCACCACCACCACTCACTCACTCACCACTCACTACCACCACTCACTACCACCACTCACTCACCACTCACTACCACTCACTACCACCACTCACTCACCACTCAGTACCACCACTCAGTACCACCACTCAGTACCACCACTCAGTACCACCACACACTACCACCACTCACTACCATCACTCACTCACCACTCACTATCACCACTCACTCACCACTCACTACCACCACTCACTCACCACTCACTCACAACTCACTACCACCACACTCACCACTCACTACCACCACTCACTCACAACTCACTACCACCACACTCACCACTCACTACCACCACTCACTCACCATTCACAACCACCACGCTCACCACCGCTCTCACCACTCACAACTACCACGCTCACCACTCACTCACACCACTCACTACCACCACTCACTCACCAATCACTCACCACTCACTACCACCACTCACTCACCACTCACTCACCACTCTCTACCACCACTCACTCACCACTCTCTACCACCACTCACTCACCACTCACTCACACCACTCACTACCACCACTCACTCACCACTCACTCACCACTCTCTACCACCACTCACTCACCACTCTCTACCACCACTCACTCACCACTCTCACCACCACGCTCACCACTCACAACTACCACGCTCACCACCGCTCGCATTCACCACCGCTCACCACCACTCACCACCGCTCTCACCACTCGCATTCACCACTCACCACCCCTGCTCACCACCACTCACCACCCCTGCTCACCACCACTCACCACCACCGCTCACCACCACTCACCACCACCGCTCACCACCGCTCTCACCACCACCGCTCACCACCACTCACCACCACCGCTCACCACCGCTCGCGCTCACCAGAGGCAGCCCTTGAGGAAATTGTCGGGTGAGGAAGCAAACTCCGAGGTGGAGTGGGCCAGGAGGCGTGGCGGTGAGGACAGGCTGCAGGCCTCACCACTGGCACCATCAACACACACACACACACATCACCATCATCACCACACATCATCATCAACATCACACACATCATCATCATCAACACACATCACCAT